CCAACTTGTACTGGTCATAACTCTCTCAATTTTCATCTTTTGAAGGTGATCTTGGACATTTTCGAGAGCTCAAGATGTCTTCTACAATCTCTCTTATGATCATTTTTGCATTTGAAGACTTTATCTTGATGTAAGTTGCCCTGACAAAAAGTGTTTTTTTGTTGACTTTTGAAATGACCTGTAATGTATTGGCTCATATCTCTCAAATGAAGCCTTTTTAGACTTGAGCATTAAAACACAAAGTTATAGAGAATTGAATTTCCTTCAAAATGGGCTTTGGTTGGGGAAAAGTTGATGAAGCATGTGAAAGTTATGCTTGGTCAAAGTTCACTTGACTTCTCCTAAGGAAACCCTAATTTGGCAATTTTGGACTTTTGATGATTTGAGGGTTTCTCTTGAGAAATCATGATCAAACCTTGATCAAATGATGAATAGTACTTCAAAATGTTATTGTTGACAAAAAATCTTGAAGTTTGACTGTATGTTGACCATAGTTTACTTTTTACCCAATATAGTTGATTTTCAATCATCTGAGCCATTGACTAAGCAAACTTATAATGCAAGGCTTAAAACTTGACGTGAGCATTGTTCAAGACCTATGGAGAACCATGGAAACCACTTGAGACCCTTGAAACCCATTATTCCTTGTGCAAGATGAAACCCTAGTTATGGATCCATTGCCTAGGAGGAGAATTTGTCTGATCAACTCTTGAGAATCCTTGAGCAAATGAGGACCTAATGAGAAAGTCTTGAAGAAAAATGGGAGGGAAAATTTTGGGGTACAACAGTTATGGATGTAAAGGACTTGAGGAAAAGGATTCTTGATGAAATATATCATAGTGGATTGAGTATTTATCCCGGGGCTACTAAGATGTATCATGATTTGAGGAAATTATTTTGGTAGCCAGGTATGAAGAAAGAGATTGCGGAATTTGTGTATTCTTGTTTGATTTGTCAGAAGTCTAAGACTGAACATCAGAAATTGTCTGGTATGATGTAACCTTTATTTATTCCTGAGTGGAAATGGGATAACATTTCTATGGATTTTGTTTCGGGTTTTCCGAGGACTCTGAGTAACTGTGATGTTGTTTGGGTAATCGTGGAAAGATGACAAAGTCTGCTCATTTTATTCCGATTAGGATGGATTATCAGATGGAGAGGTTTGCTAAGTTGTATATTGAGAAGGTTGTAAGTTTGCATGGTGTTTCATCGAGCATTGTTTTCAATAGTGATTCGATGTTTACTTTGAATTTTTGGGAAGGTTTACAAAATGATTTGGGTACGAAGTTGCGTTTGAGTTCGGCATATCATCCATAAATAGATGGTCAGACAGAGAGGATGATTCAGTCGTTGGAGGATCTTTTGAGAGCTTATGTTTTGGAACAAGGAGGTGCTTGGGATAGTTACTTGCCTTTTGATTGAGTTCACTTATAGCAACAATTTACATTTGAGTATTGGAATGGAACAGTTTAAGGCTTTGTATGGACAAAGGTGTTGTGGTTGGACTTGAGATAGTTCAATAGACTACATAAAAGATTAAGATAATTCAAGAGAAGATGAAGACTTCTCAGAGTCGTCAGAAAAAATATCATGATAAGAGAAGGAATTATCTTGAGTTTGAGAAGGGCGATCATGTGTTTTTGATAGTTACTATGGTAACAGGTGTTGGTAGGGAATTGAAGTCGCGTAAGTTGATGCTGCATTTTATTGGTCCGCGTCAGATTGCCGATAAAGTAGATGAAGTGGTTTATCAGATTCATTTTCCATCATTGCTTGCTAATCTTCATGATGTGTTCCATGTATCTTAGTTGAGGAAATACATTGCGGATCCATCTCATGTTGTCCAATTAGATGATGTACAAGTAAGGGATAATTTGACCGTTGAGATGTCACCTATGTGGATAGAGGATATAGAAGTGAAGAAACTCCGAGGTAAAGAGATTGCTTTGGTGAAAGTGGTTTGGGGAGCACCGACTGATGGTAATGTGACTTGGGAGCTTGAGAGCCAGATGAATTATTCTTATCTTGAGTTGTTCGTTTGAGGTAATTTTCAAGGACGAAAATCTTCTAAGTGGAGGAGAGTTGTAACATCCTGGTTTTATTTAGTATTATTTAATTATTTTATTAATTATTATATTATATGGTAATTAATTTAATTTGTGATTTGGTGAATATTAGAATTATTTGAATACGTGTTATTTGAATAATTGGATTTATGAGTAAGAATAGGAAATAATTAGAATTTGGCTTTATGTCATAATAGAATGAGTAAGTGGAGTTAGGCCCATTAATGATATAGAGTAGTAAGAAGAGGAATTATGGTAAGTGTTATCATAAGGCAAAAGAAGAGAAGAAGAGAAGAAGAGAAAAGAAGAGAAGAGGAAAAAGAGGAAGAAAGAAGACAAGAACCTAGAGATTGAATATTCAAGAGGTAAGGGGGGAGAATCCTTATTATTATGAGTATGTATAATATGCAATGAGTACTAACATGCTAGGTGTGGTTTTGATTTCAATTTCTATGAATTGGTATGTTAGGGTTTATAGAGAAATCATGTTTTTCCACTTGTGAGTGATTACCCATGATTAGAAACAGTTAGGGTACCCTTTAATGGTGATTATTGGTTGTTTGAAATGGATGTTGTGGAGGAATTTTGTGGAAGAGAAGTGCTGTCAAACTGGAAATTTTTCCCAAAAATCGCAGAGCCCGCTTAGCGCGAAAAAGCCTGTAACTTGGCGCGTAGCGTAAACTGCAATGTGAAATTTTGTGTTTTTGATTCTTTGACTTCGGATCCTGTATGCTTATGTTTTATGATGGATTTCCATGTATTCTAATAATTTATTCGATAGAGATTGGATAGGTTTTGAATCAGAAATTAATAAATACATACCACTTGATTTTTGGTTTATGTATGATATGTTTTGGGAGAATGTTGAAGATAACATTTGATAGTCTGTATGCTATAATGTTATTTGTGACTATGTAATGACAATGAATGTTAAATGATTGCATTGAGTTAATGATATATGTGTATTTTGTGCAATGGTGGATAATTCACTTTAATGGATTATTATGGTATGCGGTATGGTTAAGGTTCAGTGATAATTTTAATTTGAATATGATTAGATTGTATTGCACATACATACATATATGATGAGATTGGAACTCCGTTGGTTTGCTTTGTCCCTTGAATGGAAATAGAGGCAGTTGAATATATGTTCATGTTTGTTTGCTTTGATCCTTGAGTGGAAATAGAAGTGGTGAACTTTATGTTCATCAACGGTGGGAAGCCTTATGTATACTATGATATGTACTAGACCATATATTGCTCAAGTAATTGGAACGATAAGACAATTTATGGAAGATCCATGTAATGAACACTGAAGTGTTGTTAATAGGATCCTTAGGTACATCAAAGGAACCCCGGGTGCTGCATTATATTGCGGGGGATCAAAATTCACTATCAGAGTTTATGTTGATTCAGATTTTGTAGGCAATCTTTATAAAAGAAAATCTATTATTTGCTATGTGTTCGCACTTGTTAAAGGAGCGATAAGCTGGTTATTCAAAATGTAGATTATTGTAGCTTTGTCTACTACATAAGCTAAATACATGGTTGCTACCCAAGCATGTAAGGAAGCGATTTGGATCCAAAGGTTATTGGAAGAACTCGGGCACAAGCAACAGATGATTATTGTGTATTGTGACAGTCATAGTGCTTTGCACATTGCAAGAAGCATATCTTAGTCTGTATATTTGTGAAATATTGTTTACTAAATCGCTTGTGAAGAAGCATATCTTTTGTAAACAAACCTTGATTAAAAATTGTTGTTTGATTTTCTTTAAGAGATCAGGTAGATCTGAATCCTTAAGAAGTCTAGGACTAGTGTGTCTTAGAGGTTGTTATGAGTCACTTGCAGTTAGTTTGTGTATTATAATAATCTGTTTGATTATTGGATTAAGTCCTCGTTGGAGAAAGACGAAATTATCTTAGCGGATAGACTAGATTAGCTTGATAGTTTTCAAGTAAACTAATATATACTTTCTTTGTTCCTTCTTTATGCGTTATTATTATTCTTTTTATCAACTGGTGAAGAAAAATCTACTTTATTTAAGAAGAAAAGTTTTAAAAGAAAAGTTTTTTTATTTTAAAAATCCAATTCAAATCCTCATTTCTTGTGTTTTTCACTCCTTCAATCTTTTTTACTAGTGCCCATAGTTTTTCCCTTATTTGTTGATGGTTTTTTACATAAATATTGTGTGTCAATTTCTATCACTTGATCTCTTATTTCAAGTTGTTTAATGAAAATCTTTTTTTACCGGTATCCGTGATTTTTTCCTTATTTATTGAAGATTTTTCACATAAATATTGTGTGTCAATTTCTATCATTTGATCTCTTGTTTTATTTTAACTGTGTAATATTTATCTTTCTATTTTGTTACCCAAACTGATTTCTTAAGATCATGTTGATGAAATGTCTGTAAGGCATAACCTATCTTGCATTTTAGGACTTGGACTACCCGATTTCTAAGGTCGGTGTCTCGAACACCATACAACCAAACCCATTATCTCAACAAAGAATATATTCAATGTGACACAAATAAATGAGCTCACGGGTAGAACTAAACCAAACAAACAAGGACAACAACAAAAGAAAAAGTGACACAAACCAAAACAAACAAAATAACTTAAAAACAACATTTTTATAAACAAAAAGTGCATGCAACCTGTCCTATGGTTTAGAATTTAGATTGTTGATCTCTCTTAATCTCTTTGTACATTATGTCACAAGATATATGCACCCGTGACCTATCTCTCTGTCAATGATTCTCTGCTTCAACTCCACTCTAATGGTCCCACACATAATAAACAAGTACCATACACCATAACATTTAGTAATATATAAAACCATAACACAAACCAATTTATCTATATACTTCCAAACCAATTTTTTCTTACATGTTTCGTTACATTCTTTCTCTCTAAAATAACATAACAAACATGAATTCAATTTTCTATGTTTTAACACTTGTTCTTGTCCTCCAAAATCCTATTGTAACACAATGTCACACCAAAGGTCTTCGACCAAAACCTTACAATGGAACCGAAAACTCAGCAAACATGACCAAAATTCAAGAATCAGAACAACAGTTCATGAAATGGGTGAAATTCATCGGTGCTCTCGATCACACCGTCTTTCGAACAGCGAAAAACAAGCTTTTTCCTTCTTATACTCTCAATGTCTATAAGAATTCCAAAAAAGGAGGGTTCTCAACTATTCAATCAGCCATTGATTCTCTTCCTTTCATCAACCTAGTTAGAGTTGTCATTAAGGTTCATGAAGGTGTTTACACGTAAGTACTAATTAACATTTCTTTTACTACATGAATATATATAATCAAAATTATATAGAAATAACAGGTAAACAGACAACAAACTGCGCTGATTCTGTTTGTTGTTTTTCTTAATTTACAGAGAGAAAGTTTACATTCCACCATTGAAATCATTCATAACAATACAAGGAGCAGGTGCAGATAAAACAATTGTGCAATGGGGTGACACTGCTCAAACACCTAATCCTGTTGCAAAAGGACAAACACTAGGAACCTATGGTTCTGCAACTTTTGCTGTTAATTCACCTTATTTTATTGCTAAGAACATCACATTCAAAGTAAGTAACAAAAAACAAAACAAGCCTCATTAATTGATTTAATTTCTTAGTTTCATGTTCCTTAAAATATTTATTTCTATGTGTAGAATACTGCTCCAATTCCAGCCCCAGGAGCGGTTGGAAAACAAGGTGTGGCATTGAGGATTTCGGCAGATAATGCAATGTTTCTTGGATGCAAATTTTTAGGTGCACAAGATACACTCTATGATCATCTTGGTAGACATTATTATAAAGATTGTTATATTGAAGGCTCTGTTGATTTCATATTTGGCAATGCTCTCTCACTTTTTGAGGTAATTAGTTTCATCTTCAATTATCTCAGTAATATGTCTCTGGTGTCTGATACGTTTTAAATTATTTCTATAGCATTTGACAACTCTAAAAAAATTGTGTTTGACATCTGATACGTGTCACTTATCTCTTTATCAATAACACCTCTAAACAAATGTGCGTTTAGTGTCCGATACTTGTCATTTGTCACTTGTCACTTGTCACTTATCACTGTATCAATGACAACTATAAACAAATGTATATTTAGTGTCTGACACGTATCAATATTCAACATTGACAAATGATTGTCTGATACGTGTCAATTATCTCTGTTTCAGTGTCACCTCTAAACAAATATGTGTTTAGTGTCTGCACGTGTGTGTGGTTTAGTTGGTAAGATAGTTGGTGATGTATATTGTGTAGGGTTGTCACGTGCATGCTATAGCTGAGAATACCGGGGCAGTAACAGCACAAGGGAGGAGCAGTATGTTAGAGGACACGGGATTTTCATTTGTACACTGTAAGGTCACGGGATCAGGAGCACTATACCTTGGAAGGGCTTGGGGTCCTTTTTCTAGAGTTGTGTTTGCTTATACATACATGGACAATATCATCATTCCCAAAGGATGGTATAATTGGGGTGATCCCAATCGTGAAATGTAAGTCCATCATATATCTCTTTCCTACATTAAAGATGTGTAAGTATGCAATTGAAATACTTTCCCAATATTCCTAGTTGCTTTTACACCAAGTGACATACACACTAATCAATCTTTACATAGAGTCAGCATCCATCTTACTATAAATATGAATAATAAGAATCTCTTCAATAGATAGAACAAAACCTAAATTAGGTATCTACTTAATAAAAGTAACATACAACCATAAAGAAAAGTGACCACTACCTTACATGAACTCCCACTATAAAGCAATATGCAAATCCATGTCTTACCTTCCAATACACAAAGTGCTACAAAAAACTTGTCACCATACTACTTGTTTGGTTTGTTTATAATATATAGTAACTATATAGATACATTAGCATGCGCATGTGAGTGCGTTTTATAATTATTTTGTTGGTGTATTTTTGTATTTTTGTTATTCTATTCTTTTTGGGTCCACTATTAACACCTCCACTACTATAGGACTGTGTTCTATGGACAATACAAGTGCACAGGACCAGGAGCAAGCTATGCAGGGAGAGTATCTTGGTCAAGGGAACTCACTGATGAAGAAGCTAAACCTTTTATTTCACTTAGCTATATTGATGGATCTGAATGGATTAATTCTTTCTTTTGATTTTAGAGAAAATTTTATTAGTTTTCCCTTGTCACAATTTTTTTAATGTATAAATTTAATAGTAATAATAACAATAATAAATACATATATATTGGTTTTGTGATTGTATTATTGGGAATGATGATTTTGAGAATGTTATAACTAGGAAAATAATTTTCAATAAAGAGGTTGGTAAATACTTAATTATCATTTTTAGGAATGTTGTTTGTACTTTTGTTTTATATCAAAAACAAAAAATTCAAAAAGATATAAAAAAGTCAAGATGTGTTTGGTACAAGTGTGAGTGGTTAAAGTTTTATATTGTCCATGAATGAGTGAAATATTGAATGGGAATTTCTTAATATACCCTATGAGTTTCTTAGTCTTCACGGTGAAATTTCAAAAATGTCTTTCAAACCGGAAATGTATTTTCGGTACGCACTCTATTCACATAAAGAAAATCGAAAATGCATTTCTGATTCCTATTTTTCATGTATTCAGGAAAAAATAAACCGTGAAATAGAGTGGAGTGCGTACCGGAGATGCATTTTCGATTTTCTAGAGTATTTTCAGAAATGCATAGTGTTTTTTCCCCTATCTAGGATGGAATAAGAAATTCTTATTAAATTTATAAGAGAATTGACTCATTTATGTAACACCTTAAAATTTTGGATTGATATGTAACGCTAATTCTGGAGCATTGATCACATTGGTGTTCCTGACTCTCCCAAACCCCCAACAAAGAAATTTCAAAGTTACCTTAAATAAAATTGCTTAAATACAAGGAAGCGTCATTCGGAGTGTTTTTTAACTTTTGGAAATAAATCTCCGCAAATTCTTTCCAAGTTATGATTCCATCCTTATAATTGAAGTTGGAATAAAACATTTTCACCAGAGTGAAAAAATCTCTTTTGAAGCGATGATGACGAAATTTTTGTCAAAACATTTAAATCCATGGAGAGTAATATATTTTCTTGATCTTGTGAGAAAAAGTCGTTGGAGAAATAAGTCAGAGTTGAGGTACCTTCAGACATTCTAACTGACGTTATTCACTACTATAAATAATATATTTTATGATAAAATTTTCACTTTAGTCAAATAAAAACTGAGATCAAATGCTCTAGAACACGTCATTTTAATTTTGGTTTAAATACATTTTTAGTCCCTCTATTTTGATGATTTTTAATTTTTAGTCTTTTTTTGGACTAAAAACAACATTCATTCGTTTAAATCGATTGAAATGTCAAAGTTACCTTAAATAAAATTGCTTAAATACAAGGATGTGTCATTCGGAGTGTTTTTCAACTTTTGCAAATAAATATCCGCAAATTCTTTTCAAGTTATGATTACATCTTTATAATTGAAGTTGGAATAAAACATTTTCACCAGAGTGAAAAAATTTCTTTTGAAGCGATGATGACGAAATTTTTGTCAACACTTAAACCCACGGAGAGTAATATGTTTTCTTGATCTTGTGAGAAAAAGTCGTTGGAGAAATAACTTAAAGTTGAGGTACCTTTAGACATTCTAACTAATGTTATTCACTACTATAAATAATATATTTTATAATAAAATTTTCACTTTAGCCAAATAAAAACAGAGGTCAAATGCTCTAGAACACGTCATTTTAATTTTGATTTAAATACATTTTTAGTCTCTCTATTTTGATGATTTTTATTTTTTAGTCTTTCTTTTCTTTTGACTAAAAACAACATCCATTCATTTAAATCGATAGAAGTTATAAACTAAAAAGGATCGATTTTTTTAGATCCATTCATTTAAATCGGTAGAAGTTATAAACTAAAAAGGATGGATATAAATCGATAGATCCATTCATTTAAATCGATAGAAGTTATAAACTAAAAAAGATGGATATAAACATATTTGTAATGAAGTGTCTATGCTAACTAAGATTATGTCTTCTCAAATATTTATAGAGTAATATGGTTTCTTGATCTTGTGAGAAAAAATCGTTGGAGAAATAAATTGAGATACCTTCAGACATTCTAACTGACGTTATTCACTACTATAAATAATATATTTTATGATAAAATTTTCACTTTAGCCAAATAAAAACTGAGGTCAAATGCTCTAGAACACGTCATTTTAATTTTGGTTTAATCTCTATTTTTATGATTTTTAATTTTTAATCTCTCTTTTTTTTGGACTAAAAACAACATTCATTCGTTTAAATCGATAGAAATGTCAAAGTTACCTTAAATAAAATTGCTTAAATACAAGGATGCGTCATTTTAATTTTGATTTAAATACATTTTTAATCCCTCTATTTTGATAATTTTTAATTTTTAGTCTCTCTTTTCTTTTGACTAAAAACAACATCCAATCAATGGAAGTTATAAACAAATTTGGACATCTTTTCAATTTACAAATTATTATACATTGTATGGTTATTATATATAAACATTCACATTATTTATTAAGAAACCAATGGGGTACTTTAAATCTCCTTCACATTCACATTGTCATCAAAATTCTTTCCTTTAAGTACCTTCATATCTTTAGCAGCAACATTTGCATTAAATAATGAAAAGAGTATTATGGACAAGCACTATGCAGAGGGGACATAACAAACTCCACAGTTTGCAAAGAATGCATTGAGAAATCAAGTAAGGATTTAATGGCGGGGTAAGAGGGGGATGCAATGATATGGTATGAACTTTGTCAAGTTTACTATTTGTTTCAGTTGTTCTTTACAAACGCGCTTTATATTGGAAAATATCCTAAGCAGAATGATCTAGAGAAGTGCGTTTCAGATCCTACTAGTTTTCATCGGGTTTTTAATTGTTTAATGAACCATATCTCAAATGAAGTTGTTTTTACTCCTTCCAAGAACATGTTTGCAACCTGAGCCAGCAAAACGGGCCTGATTAACCGGGCTGATTCGAAAGTTCGCAAAAAATTTGAACTTAAACAAAAAATTAAAGTCTGTTTATTATCCGGACTTTTAAGTTTGGCACGTTAAAAGCCCGATGTTAATCGGGTTAGCCCGACTGGATTGCGGGTAGTCTATTTATTTAATTTTTTTCAATTTAAAAAAAAAAAACTATAATACATTATACAACTAATGTCCATATTATTTTTTAATAAAAATACAAATATCTATTTTATAATACATTTTACTACTGATGTCTATTTTAATAAAAAACTATAATACATTATACAATTAATATTCATTTTATAATATATTATATTATTAATATCTCAACTTAAATCTTGATTATTTAATTAAAATAATTTATTTTTATAATATTTTATCTTAGATGTTACGAATGTAATTGATTTATATTTTTTATTGATCAATAGTCATATATATTTTAGTTTTTTAGTTTATAGACTATTAATTAATTAATTAATTTAAAAAAATTTAACAAAAAATTAATATTAAATATTATCCGGACCGGTCCGAATAACCATAGCACGTAAAGAATCAGGCTTGGATAATCAAATTGTACCCCATTTAAATTTTGGGCTTTTAGGCCCAGCCCGCCAAAGGCCCGAACCAGTCACGAGCTGGCCCAAAGCAGACCGGGTAGCCCGTTTTGCCAGCTCTATTTGCCACAACAAAAATCAAATTTTCTCTCAAGAAATTTTTTTATGGACTTGTCGAATGTACGAAAGACATTTCTGAAACTAAATGTAGAAGTTATTTGAGTTCTGCAATCACAAAACCCAATGAATGCTACTCATACAGGGAATGAGGGATTATTGTTAGTCGCAATTGCAACGTTAGATTCAATTTGTTTGAGCTTTTTAATGCTTTTTCATCATCATCAGTATCCCTTTGGTTTTCCCAACTTTAAAGGTTGATTATTTAAACACTTTTGAATTTGACTATATTATTGGAACATACACAAGCTATATTGGTGAATCAATGGAAAATTTGTATTAAATGGAGAAGATGAAGAGAGAGAGTGAGAGAGAGAGAGAGAGAGAGAGAGTAATTGAGGTTGAGGAGAAACTGTTTAACAAATGGCATTAACTTTCAATGTTACAACTGAGGGATATTGATACAAGCTAACAAAATTGTTGGGAAACAAAACAACTTTAAAGAAAGCTAGAAAACCCAAAACGGATTCATAATTGGTTACGCCAAATACCGTAACCGATTACGCACGCAATAAATAAAATAACGGAACTGAAATTGCCTTGTGTAACTGTTACGCCTTTTCACTTAACCTTGCATTCCAGAAGTGCTTATTTTTTAAGTTGTTTCCTCTAATATGCTCTGAGAAGGTTGTACAATGCATTTGAATTATTATGTACATGTAATACACCACCTTAATTCAAACTCTCCATGTTCTCCATGCCCAAGTTCATCTTCAACTTCTTGAACACATCATTTGTGACTCTCTTTGTCAACAAATTCACACTTGTTTTTTGCTTCGACAGTATCCAAACCTCAACTTACCTTCACTCACCAGATCCTTCAAGTAATGGAACTTCATCTCAAAATGCTTGCTCCTTCCATGTGCAATAGGATTCTTAGCATGGTTAATAGCTGAAACATTATCAACGAAGAGTGTGACAGCTTCTCCAACATTGATGCCCAACTCTTCCAACAGATTCATAAGCCACTCGACTTGGCACACACATAACGACACATTGATATACTCGGCTCACAAGAACAGAGTGCAACCACCGGTTCCTTTTTAGAACACCAAGATATTGGTGCTCCTACGAGCATACAGATTAACCTTATGTAGACTTTCGATCATCTTTATTTCGGCACCATTTGGAATCGATAGAACCGAGCAAATCACATTTTCTGCCCGTATTTGCTGCCAGAAAGAGAATTTTGCAGACAATAGTTCTTTTGACGTATCTTAGGATCCTCTTAATTGCTGCCAAGTGAGACACCTTTAGTATCTCCATGAATCTACTCATAATACCGACACTAAACGCCAAATTTGGTCGCGTATTGCACAAGTAATCTAATGATCCAATCAATCTTATATATTACGTTAGATCCACAATCTACTCATCATCACTTTTAGACGCAA